GGGTGGGCAAGAAGGGGAAGAGAGTGAACGCCAAGATTTGACGCCCGAATTTTTGTAGATGATATGCGGCCGGAAGCTCGGGTCATGGGCGGTCAAGCAGTGACCCCGGTTATGGATGCGTGCGTTGAGCACATCAATTGGCTTTCAAAATCTTCTCCGTTTTGTTGCTTTCTTCTTTGGTCCCTTTGCCTGCGTGCGGGACAACCTCACGTCGCCGTACTTCTTGCTTAGGCTGGCCGCACGCCCTGGCTCTCTGCTCTTTGATCGCGCATATGTGCAACAAGCCATCTGCTGTCCCTCTGTATGTCCGGTCGCTGGATGAGATTGCACTTGCTCTTTGCCGTCTACGCCAAGCCTCACAATTTGCCCTGATTCCTAGCGCTCCTCCTTCCTGACGAGCAGGCGCCCAGATACAACCAAAGTTTGGGACCTCAAGACCTACTGGCGTCAATCAGGGGGCAACTTTACCACGCTTCCGGAATACTTCAAGCAGCAAGGCTACTGGACAGTGGGAATGGGCAAAGGTGTGGTTAGAGTCGTCCTGGCCAAATTACTTTTTCCCGGCCTGGATGGACGCTGCTTGTCCTCAAGTATATCTGTCATTGCCTAGTCTTTCATCCTGGGTTTGCAGACGACCAGCCATATTCTTGGTCCGAGCCTTACTTTCACGCCAATGACCACGGCTTGGGAGAAAACCTCACGGAATGCTACGCGGCCCTTAATGTCACCGACGACGACGTGACGGACGGCATGCTGGCGCGCCATGCCGGTACTCGGACAGACGCTTTCGTTTGCTCCACGGTGTTCAACTTGCCCTCTGCCTGTGTCTTGCAGAACCGATTAACCTCTCATTGTTTGTTGACGTGACTCGCTGTGACTTGATCTTGGCAGAGGATGTACTCAGCCAAGCCGCAAAGCAGGACAGACCGTTTTTTATTGCCGTAGGCCTCGTAAGTGCCGTGGTCATACGCCCTCATCAACAAGCACCAGTCAGACGTACGCACGTTCCGCTCAGCCTACATCCGACCTGCTTGCAATCGCACCCAGCATCGACCCCATCTACCCTGGAACGTTCCCGCAAACTGGTTTGAGCTATATCCGAACATCACCCTTGCGGATCACAATCAGCCCCCAATCAACTATGGTGATGCCATGCCGTGGTCTTGGGATCCGCAATCGGGGCCTCGACACTGTGGCTACATGCAGTCCCAGTCCAGGCAAGCCTTTTTTTTTTTGGCGTCGCTTCCGAGACTTTTTGAGTGTACATGTCGTCATTTGACAGCTTCATCTTTTCACTCGATGCAATTACCTTTCGGGTTTCCCCATTCGGACGCGCTGTTCTACAGCCTTCCTGATCCGGGCCTGGGCGAGTATGCCCTTGTTCCCGATGAGCTGGCTTTGGCCTTTCGACGAGGTTGAAGTTGCGCCTTGATTGTCTGCAGATCTTTACTCTTGGTGAACTCGGCTGTTCACACGCTGTTCAACTGTCTGCTTTATCATAGCCTACTTTGCCGCAGTCTCTGCAACTGATCACAACTTTGGTTAGTGTTGGCGACCTTGGGCAAGCCGCTCTATAGACTGGGCTCACGTGCAATCCAATGTTGGGCGACATCCGCTTTCAGGGCGAGTTTTCGCAGCCCTCGACAAATATGGGCACCGGAATAACACGGTCATTGTCCTTCTTGGAGATCACGGCGTACGTGTGTGTTCGTGCGTCGTCTCCAAATCCCGTCTTTGCGATTGAATGTACACCCGACGCTGGTGCGGTTTTTTTTTTTTTTTTTTTTTTTTTTTTTTTTTTTTTTTTTTTGTTGGTGCCGGTGTGTTACAGTGGCAGCTTGGCGATTTGGGCGAGTTTGGGAAGAAGACCAACTTTGAACGGGCCACACGCGCCCCCCTACTCTTCAACGTCCCCCCTACCTTTCAGCATGGTCGGTCCGCGCACCCTTGGCTCGCCAACTCTCAGTTAAACAACAACTCAAGTGTCGATGCGGTTCTCCACGTTTGTTTGGTTGCCAGCTTTCCCATCGCTCTTTACAAGCCCAACCACGGCTGTCCGTTCCACCTCGGCTCTGGTGAGTCAGCACCTTTGCGCCGCTGGAGTGCCGCATCTCGGCAGGCTGTAACGCCGGTGATTGATGTCCTGCGAGCCCCAATAGGTGGAGTTTGTCGATATCATGCCGACGCTCGTCGAGTTGTGTGGACTCGCCCCGATTCCTGCGTGTCAGGCCTCCTCTTATCACCAAAGCATCTGCACCGAGGGCCAGTCACTTGTACCACTACTGCGCAACCCAGAGGACACGGCCAATCGAACCGCGGCCTATAGTCAATATGCGTTTTGTATGCATGACGATATGATATGGCACGACGCTTGTGATGCCGAGGTGGAGCCACAGGTCATGGGCTACGCGATCCGCACACACCGGTACGTGTGAGCCTCTGCCCGCAGCGAGGGATTGGAAGGTCGCTTTAACGGAGACTGCGCTTGCACCCATGCACAGGTGGCGTTTTGTTGAATGGATCCGTTTCAACCACACGGCCTTTCCGCCCATCCGACACTGGGATCAGGTTGCGTCCAATTCGCCGCCGTTCGCCCAGCCTCGATTGCGTGCACAGCCTCTTGCATGTATACCTCACGACCAGAATTGCACTCTGGGCAAAACATGACTTGCTGCAGGTACTGGGGCAAGAGCTGTACGATCACACCGAGGCAGACAGCGTGGAAAACGAGGCGGAATCGGTTAACCTGGTCCACCAGTACCCTGCCGTCGTGGCCAGCTTGCATGCTCAACTGGTTCACTTTTTCGATGGCAATGATGCCATTTCCTAACGGTCAATCGAACCGTTTTGTCGCTGTTTAAAAGGTTGTTGCAGATTTGAACGGGACGTAAAAGAAAGTTTATGTCGCTACATATTGACCTTGAGGTTCATAAAATTGTAACGGCCATAACGTTCATGTTTTTTTATTTTTTTTCTCTGATCGCGCATTCCCGTTCCAACCGATCCGACCCGAGGGTCGAGCGGCCTGCACCGAGGGCTTTCTTGCTCTGTGTGCGGTTTGCAGGCACCTTGTTCTGGCTTGAGCTGTGTGCACCACACTCTCGTGATCGGGACCGGGACTAGAAGTGATTTTTAACCACTATCGCGCGCTCGGCGGCGCCACCGCCGCTCCGCTCAACATGCTTCACATTTATTTATGCCACGGCGAGTGTGGCGGTACGTTTGAGCCGTGTTCCTTCACGCTCTCTTGCCCGCAAGTCGCACGCACTCAATGACAATGGTTAGGCAAATGCTAAAACCATTCGTTTTGAGCCCCTCATCACAATTGACCTCTCTTTACGCACAGAGGGGCCTCCAGCATCGGGCTGTCAATGTCAAGGCTATCTCGATTCCAGCCCATGCTGCTCCTGCTCCTGCTCCTGCTCCTGCTCCTGCTTCTGCCCAGAAGAAGGAACATGTCGGTCCAACGGCAGCCATTTGTAGGTTCAGCCACTCCCATCGTGGCCCAGCATTCTAAAAACACGCTTCTCACTCCTCGGCTGCGTGAATCGAATCCCCGTGCCCCAGGATGGAGCGTTCATTTGACTCGGGATATCATGCTGCTGAGGAGCCCGAAACCTATCCTGCATCTCCAATCTATGAGTCAGCCGCATGGAACACGCCAGCCACAAAACCACATACTACAGGCCATCACCGCCCTCATAAATCGCAGCAGCAGCGGCGCCACATCCTTCAGCCCACTCAACAAAGTGAGCTCAGGCCTTCCCCTCAATTGTTGCCTGCCACTTGTGAGGCAGATGACGATTGGGCTGCAGTTGCAGCCACACTAGCTGTGCCATCATATGCGCATGCTCCAAACAAAGGCTACGATCCGGCCGCCTATACGGGCCACGATGAGTTGGTTTGGCCTCAGCGCGCCCGAATGCCATTCCCTTCTAGCCCCGTCGCCCTGGCCGGTAAGCACGCTGAAGCCTGGAGGAACAGCACAACAATGGTGGTGGTGCGCGATTGATGCTACTCACGTGATTGTGATGACGATTGAAACTACATCCATATAACCCCGCGTGACCCCTGCTCTGTTCATAGCAGAAGCTGAGAGCTTGCCGCGTCCGCCCTCAACATTCATGGCTCGATATGGAGGATCACAGATCTCAGATGCCTTGCCCCCTGCCGATAATCCCGGGCCTGGATCGTACACCCCCTTGTCTCGAGACAGGTCCGTGTAAAAGACGAAAGCTCAAGGGGAAGCTTCTTTTGTCACCTGCAGTCCTATGTCGTATCACTCAGCCCCGAGCAATCCTCGTCTTCTCATGTTGCCTTTTTTTTTTTTTTCGACTTTCTTGTTCAGTGAGGGGCCAGCCTTCTCCCATCAGTTCCGCCATGAGGCTCCTCGTAAAGATCACACACCTGCTCCAGGGGCATATCAAACTGGTGTACGGCAACGTTCATCGGGTCCTGCCTTTACATTGCGAGGACGGCCTACACCAAGGTTTGTGGCTCTGCCTTAACCAATCCCAAGCTAGACCAATTTGCTTGGCCAGACTACAGCTCTTGTTGAGTTTTGGTGGCTTGCTTCTCACTGCTCTTGTTGGCCAACACAGGGTTAAGGACAATCATCCCGGCCCCAATGCATACGGTGGCGGCGACAATGCTTCAAGTCATCGTCGTCGAGCCCCCGCGGCCTCATTGGTCGGCAGGCCCCGCCTCAAGCGCAAGGAGAAAGGTCAGCCCCACTCTTGACATTGTCACCGTCCGAAAGTCTTCGCCTTTTGCCTTTTGTTTTGCAGCGCGTGTTTAACCCGGTGTGGGATCAATGGGCTTTGCAGCGCCTGGTCCAGCAGATCACGCCACGTCATCCGCGGTGGACAGCCGCTTCAAGACACCTGCTACGGCAACCCTATGTATGTCACATGCCATGGTGCTATTTTCGACTTTTCAAGATTTGGGCCAAGCCTTGTACACGGAACTCACTGGATAACGTTCAATGCACAGATTCGCGCCGCGAAGAGAAGCCCAAGAATTTTGGCCCCGGAGTCGGTACGACTTGATCGTGAAATCTGACCGTCACGATTCCAAGCTTTCTTGAATTGGCCCATGCGGAGTCATCTCCAACCTTGTTTTACGCCCACCTCAATGCCCACCCCAATTTGCTAAACATCATAGGAAAATATCATCCCTATGCCGAGCCGCCGACGGCTGACGTGGCACCCGGCGCGCGTCTAGTTGGGCGGTTTGTCTCGTCACCACACATATGCTGCAACGATGCGAGTGACTCGTTTCTCATCAGCTTTTTACTCTGGTCGTATGATGCGCGCTGCACGTAGGCCCAAAGCCCCGAAGGCGGCTGATGTGCCTGGACCAAACGCATATTCAGTGGCTGAGCCACCTTCAAATCGGGGTGTTTGTTTGGTGGGTCGCCCGAAAAGCCCACGAAAGGCGGAAACGCCGGGCCCGAATGCCTATGCACCAGGCCAGATTCAAACCGAGATGGAAGATGCTCCACGTCGCGGGGCTCTCATCACGGCACGGCCCAAGACGCCACGACCCCGCGATACACCGGCTCCAAATGCTTATGCTCAGCCAGAGCAGCCCCGTGGTCCTGCCGCTCAGCTGACGGGTCGCCCCAGTGAGCCGCGGGAGGAAGATCGACCAGGCCCAGCTTCTTACACAGCCGAGCCGCCGCGCGAATCGACAGCAGGCGCGCGGCTTGTTGGTCGTCCACAGGAGCGGTCAGCAATGGTTGCACCTGGCCCGTCCGACTATACAGCCTTGCCTCCCGGGCCACGGGTTCCCGTGGCTCGTCTCACCGGCAAGCCTCGCGAGCGACGCTTGGAAGAGCGTCCGGGCCCCGCCGACTACCAAACCGAGGTTGAACGATCGGCAGCAGGAGGAGCTACCATTACTGCGCGCCCTCGTGACCCCAAGGCAGATCAACGACCCGGTCCAGCAGATTACGCGCGTGTCGAAGAGACTGGTCCACGAGGCCCAGCCGCGCGTCTTGTGGGGCGGCCTGCTTCACCGACGGATTCAGCGCCACGGCCGGGTCCTGCTGATTATGCAACTTTTGAACACGACGCCGGCCCGCGAGCACCCGCAGCTCGACTAACGGGTCGAGCGGCCTCGCCCAAGCCAAGTCACGGGCCTGGGCCCGCCGATTACGATACCATACGAGACACTGCAAACAGCATGACCGGTGCGCGCTTGACTGGTCGGCCCAGCTCGCCCAAGCGTGTCGAGGCGCCGGGGCCGAATTCATATGCTGTGAGTATGCACGCAACGGGCCAGCGAGCCCCTGCCGCTGCTCTTGTGGGCCGGCCTGTTGAGCGGGCGGCAGCCGAGGCTCCTGGACCAGCCAACTACAATACTTTGGACCTGAGCCAGAGTCGGTCTGGGTTTGCCGCCACCATTACTGGCCGACCGGTCGAGGCCAAGCTCAAAGAGGCTCCAGGGCCATCGAGCTACCAAGTTGCCGAACCTGAACGCCGGGGTCCCGCCGCACTTTTACGGGGACGCAACGATGCTCAAAAGCCGCAGGAGACACCTGGGCCGCAATATGACGCCCACATGCACCTTGAGATTGGACGCAACGCCCCAAAAGTAACGCTTGTGGGCCGTCCCAAGGACCGCGAGATGCCCGATCAGCCTGGCCCAGGTCATTACCGTGCAGGTGGGTTTTGAGAATGGTCAATGTTTAGTCTTGAGTTCACAGGCCACGCACAGACTTCCCTGGCCCTTTCTCGAATTTCGTCCCTTACACCAAAATGGTTTGGTGCTCGTGCGCTCTCAATGTTTCTCGTGCACTCTCACTGCTGCACATCTCCTTCATTTTAGTGGATCTATCTGCCAGCACGGCTCGGGCTGCTACGCTGGTTGGACGCCCTCGCGAGCGTGAGCCTGATGCACGCCCGGGTCCAGGTGAGTCAGTTCTGATCAGGCAGCACGTTGGCGCTGCTTGGCCTGCACCTCATGGCCTTGACATTGTGCTGACAGGGGCTTATGTGGTGCCGGACCGCTTGTTTGAGCCCAAACACGGGCGAGGAGCGCGATTAATGGGCCGGCCTGCCGAGCCCAAGGAGCAAGACGCGCCGGGTCCCGCGAGTTACGCAAACCTGGTCACAACTCAGCGTAGCAGTCTCGGAGGTGGGCTCGCGCATGGCTTGTGTGCCGCTTCTTGCTGACCGACCACCTTCCAATTTGAAGCTCATCGATGCCGTCTGACACCTATGGCGTGCATATCAATCTGGCGCTCGCATTTTAGGGACTCTACCACCACGCTATGGCGATGCACCGTCGGCATCGGCTGGTCCACGCACGGTTGATGACGCCAGCAGCCAAAAAACTGCGGCCAGTCGTCGACCAACCCGCACGGAGCGCCTCCGCGCAGCCACTCGCGAGGTGGGCTCCCGTTCGTCGTTGACGTATTCTCGACATGAGCTCATGTGATGCCAACTTTCTTGTAGGCAATTCAACAAGCGGAGGCAGCCGTCCATGCCAGTTCAACGCGCCGCCCAAGTCGCTCGGGCAGTCAGCGGCGCCCGAGCAAAGAACCGCCCATGGAGCAAGCTGACACCGCGCACAGTGATGCTGTTGGCACCGCGCAGCTGCCGTCGGCTTTCAAGCCCACAGGCACAGCCATTGAGAATACAGAGGCCGATTTGAACGAAGATGACGCGGAGAGTCTACCTCGTAGTCAGCCCCAGTCGGCTGCCACACCGCCAGCCCTCACGCAGCAGGCCTTACAGGATCTGGCCCATGGTTTTGAACGCAGTGTCCCTGCTAGCCGTGCTCGCGTAAGCGCGTGGCTTTCCACGACCGCGTCACCCGAACCCCTCGACGATGGGGCTGAAGATAAAGCCGCCATAGCAACGGCAGCGACGCCACTGGGTGCTACTGCGCCTTGGGCGTCGCCCAGGCGCAGTCTATCCCAGGAGCCTGACGATGAGGGCGATGATCACGTTGAGGACGTGGTGCGACAAGACACGCTCACCCGCATGCCCACCCTTCGTGCGCCAGCTGAACCAATGGAAGCCGAGTTTGAAGCGGGTGACGTGGAGTTGAATCCCAATTGGGCCGAAGCTGATCTAATGGTCCAGAACGACGACGACAACGACGACGAGCCGTGGGGACCGGATGTGCTAGCCGGTCAAGACTGGGGCGTTGGAACTCAAGGTCAGCAGGGCCCACCCGTCGCGCGGTCAGCTCTGCAGGCCCGTGAGCTGGGCCAAGATCGTGGAGCAGCGCGAGCCTTGTCCCCTATTGAAGCTTCAGCTGCGGCTACCCCCGTTGCTTCTCGCGAAGTGACATTGCTGCGTACGGGTGAAGGTACAGCACCGCGTGCCTCTGTCTCAGGCGGAGATGCATTTCGCACGTGGCGGGGTGGACCTTCGTCTCCCTCTCAGCTGATTTCAGGCGATGAAAGTGGCTCCGGGGGCATTGAAGTCACTGATGTGAACGCAACTAGCCGGGCTACCTCTGACACAGGCGAGGCTCGTGCTGCCCCAGCATGGGCTGATCAGACATTGCGCAGCAGCAGCACATTGCGGCCAGAAGCAGCAGAGCGAACGTCTGAGTCGATGCGGCAATTCTTGGCCGCGGAGCGTCAGACCCTTGGCACCCCATCCCCATAAATCAAGACTCTGGTCGAGGGAGCGAGCCCTTCTCACATTCACTTGCGCCTGAGGCAGCCTCTGGCATCTAAGCCAGTAATAACAGCGATATGTCTATTAACATGTAATATAAGATCATTTTTACTCTTGTCTGGAGATAGCCACCCTGACCAAGCGCTGCGCGCTAATCCATCATCGAATATCTTGGTGTTTGTGTCAACAGCACGTCCCAGCCCCAGCGCACCGGGCCGAGGTAACGCAAAAGCCACGAGGAAACAATCATGAAGGCGTTCATATCAGCATGGTGATGTAATTGTTTGCAAAAAAAAAAAAGAGACAAGCTCAATCCGGCACTTGACATTCGACACGGGGACACAGTAGAGGCAATTCACGAGTTTACATGTCAGGACCAACCATGCCTTCTTCGTTGTACTCATCATCATCATCATCACCAGAGCCCTCCTCGTTCTCCTTTTCAAACTTCTCCATAAGCTTGGCAAGCTCGCTATCATCCGTCTCCGTGACAGCACGGGGCGCCATCTTGATCTTGAGATCACCACCCTTCTCCTCGATGACTTTCTTGATGGCCTCAAGCGCCTCCCCCAATAGTGCAACACCTTTAGTCTTATCGAGCGAGTGAGTCGTCACGACGTAAAGGGGCGGAGCGATCAGGTTCACGTTGATGGGCAGCTCGGGGGTTGAGAGGGCGATGGCGGCCTTAAGGGCAGCCTTGACTGCATTGATGCCCTCATATGCATAGCAGGTCACATCGATATCTGCGTGGCGTTGTGGAAAACAGAACGAGGGTAAATGTGCACGTAAAGGAAGTCTGTGAGTTTGAACAGCCGAAACAGCGATGGGCAAGCGGCAGCAGGACTCGATGCTCGACTAAAAGATGATTCCACAAGGCAAATTGGTTCTTATCCTTAACAAGATGATTGTGTGAGCACAGTGTGTGTGCGTGTGTGTTATACGCACCGGCACGGATCTTTTCAGCCTGAGGCGTCAACCGATGTTGGATCTTCTTGCGCAGAGCATCCTTGATCTCCTCGGGGATATCAAACGAATCGAAGATTTCGGGCTTTTCTCTATCAAAATGAGGTCGGCGCGTGAGCAAGTCCAACCCAAGCAGGATCCGGGGTCTTATCAACAGTTTTTGACCAAAATGCTTGTCAATGTGAGATTTGGGGTGACAAACAGGTTGAGAGTGAAAGACCTACGTAATGGCAAGCTTGAACAGGTCAAAAGAAGAGGAGGGGCCCGAAGTGGCCTCCAGCTTCCAGGCCGTCTGCTCGTACAGCGTCTCAAGATCCTATGTGTAATGGTGACCGAGAGGACATCGGTACCGTTAAGGGCGCAGCAGCATTCGGAGCCAACACAAGCCTGAATTGTACCCATCAAGTGGGCAAGCTTACAAAGTTGGTGTTGTCCGCAACGTTACGGAGGATGGAATTGACAATCTTGGCGCGGTTGAATTTGTCTTCGCACTTTTTGGCTTCCTCGGGACTGACGCGGCGCTTGGAAAGATCAATGTAACCCTAAAGCCAAGGAGGAGTGAGTGCCACAGAGGAAACCGGCCGGGCCGAGTGGGACAGAGAGAGGCATGAGCCAGCGGTCACTCAATCAGCGGGGCAAAAAAACAAAAAAAAAAAAAAACCTTCACCGGGAGATGGTCGTTGGCCTACCTTCTCCTCATCCACGCGCATGACCACGACACACTCATGGCGACCGACGCGAATCAGCTTGTTCAGCGACCGGATACGACGACGCGACAGTTCGCTGAGCAGAATCATGCCCTGTGATGTAAGCAAAACGTTGGATAAGCTAAACAAGGGCCCCCATCGCGGCGCAGGCAGGCCAAAGCTCTCGGTTGGTTTCTGTCATGTCACCTACATCAATGCCATCATACTCCAGCAGCTGTACGTACGCGCCCATCTCTGTATAGCACGGCGAGGAAAGGGACAAGACCACACATCAAACGTCAGTATAAGTCCATGTTTCCCGTCGCCGACGTCTGAAATGGCTTTGCGCCCGTTAACAGCCGCGCTTGGCGGCGGGCAGAGCCGTTTGCCTGGCAGAGCAAGCAAGCGAGCGGCTGGTGCCGCGACCGCCTCTCGAGTCCCACGCGACCAGGCTCGTCCAAACACGCACCCTGGATGGACTTGACGTTGACCATGACCACATCATCAACCTCAGGAAACTTGGGCTTGTAGAAACGGCAGTGCGACTTAGGGCTCTTGACATCATCCTCCGCATCCACATCAACGACGTCGACCTCAGCCGCTGCCACTGACTCATCCTGCTCATGAGGTGCCGCCATCTTGTCCCGTTCTGCTCTCTCGTCCGTGTGTGTGTGTGTGTGAGCGCGCGACACGAGCGAGCACTGTCAGAGAAATTACCAACTGTTAATGTTCCTTCAGTTATGCAGTTGTTTTTCCCTCTCAAATAATTCATACTTTCCGGTCGTTCAACGCAAAGGAAGAGTGAGACAGAGATGAGACGCAACACACGTGGAATGCTGACAATTAGAGGCGACAAGTTTTGCCGGTTAATTGGGAGCTGAGTCAGGACGAGGGGCCACTCGGTGGCACGGCAACTGGGATCTTGGTCTTGGACTCTTCAGAGGGCGACGCTTAGTTGACAGCATAGTCACCGCGGGCTCGGCTCCGAAACTCTTCTTCAATCTGCTCCAGTGACTTGCCCTTGGTCTCTGTATGTCGGGCGATGAGCATGAGATCGGGACCGAACACGAAGCCGGTGTGTGCAAGGGGCTGAGCTCATCCAATGAACAAACCTGGGAGGCAGCGCCAAATCCAGACGACGCTGGCAGCACAAACAGCTCCGAAAACAAAGAAGACCCCTCCCGGGTACCATCCTCGTAGCTGTTTGAGCGGTGGATATGACATGATGCGTCGACATGAGGGGAACAACAACCACAACAACATTATGGTGGGTGAAGCGCATCGACCAACTTACCATCAGCGGGAACGTTTGGCTTACAACCAAGACGAAGAGCCAATTGAGAAAACCTGAGACGGAGAGAGCCTTGCCCTTGATCTGGGTTGGAACATGGTGTTTGTCAACAATGGTCAAGGGGCATTGTGGGATCAACCTCACACACACACACACACACACACACACACACACACACACACACACACACACACACACACACACACACACACACACACACACATACACACACAGGTCCAGGCAGCACCCCCATAACCGTGATTTACCTTGAGCGGAAAAATCTCCGACAAGTACAGCCATACAGCAGGTCTGCGAGGTGGGTCGGGCAAAAGTTACATGCACAGGACATGCCAATGTAAGCGGCGTGCACACTGGGGGATGGGCCCGGCATGGGTGCACCAACCACAACTTACCCTAGTGACACTTCGTAAAAACCCATGAAGCAAAAGAGCGAGACCAGGGCAATCCAACCCTCGCCCGTGCTGATGCTGCCCGTGGATTCACGTATCTGGTTTTGAGAATCAGAGATGACGGTGATGAATGCCAACCAACCACTGGCATGTCGACAAGGGTCGTGCATATTGCTACCGCACCTGAAACATGGCAGCAAGCAACAGAGTGCTGACCGTCATACCCACAATGCCAACAAGGATCAGGATTCGACGGCCAGCGCGATCAATCAAGACCACAGCCACGGCCACAAAAAACACCTATTGACATGTGAACATGATCCCAGACGAGCCACGCAATTGTCAGACATCTCATGAGCCTTGGGCACGTGAATGGACGATCTGCTTAATCCTGTCGCTACAAACCTTGACGACGCCAATAAAGATGCTGAAGAAAAACGCCTTGGACTTTGAAAACCCAGCGTCAGTGAGGACAGTCTGGGCGTAAAAGTTGACAGCGTTGACACCTGGCAAATCCAAGCGTCAGCAAAAGGGTCGTCAAAAGGGCATCAGGCCGATTGTATCAAAAGCCGAGACTTGGCCCTGCAGGATCGGTGCCAGCTATAGATCATGACGCACCGGTAAACTGCTGGATGGCACTGAGCATGGCCCCAACGTAGAGTCCATAAAGAACGTTGGGCTCTAGGAGATCGCGCCACCTAGTCAAAATCACAGGAGCAAACTTTGAGTGATAGATGTCGCCATAACACCAACCATAGGGCCAATTACTCACATGCCCTCAGCTTCCTGGTTGGCCGCGTGAACTTCCGACACTTCCTGTCGCCCAATGGACAGCATGAGCCAGCAACCTGTTTAGGAAAACAACAACAACAACAAAAACAACAACAACAACAACAACAAAAAAGGATGATGGCGCTATGGGTGACGAACCAGGTCGATGGCGGCAGGGTGGCGGAAAAGCGCGAGCACTCGTCGTGCTGCCGCCTCATGCCGCTGCTTGATCTGGAGAAAATTGGACGTGAAGCCGTTTGATGAATCCAAAAGGGTCGGTGAGCGGAGACCAGAGGCTCCCATCGTGTCAGGCTAGCTTTGCCAATGATCAGCAGGTACCCAGACCGGGCGATGCTCACCAGATAGCGCGGCGTTTCGGGTGCAAAGATGACAAAGCCAATTTGCAAGAAGAGGGCGATTGGCACGGCCGCCATGAACATCCACTTCCAGTTGGGAATGTCATGCGTGTTGCAAAAGGCATCATCGTCAAAGCGTTGTTTACCACAAAGCCAAGCAAGACGCCCACGCAAATGAAGAGCTATAGACCCAGAAGATCCAAACGTGAGAGACGACCCTTCCCCTGTTTTGGTGCAAAGCGGGCCGGTTTTTCGGCGACACGCGGCGGGGAAAGCGGAATCGCGTGCCTGGTTGGTGGTGACGAGACGCCCACGCATATCCTTGGGTGCGATTTCGGCAATATACAGAGGGACGGTGGTGCAACCCAGCCCGACGGACAATCCCACAAGGATTCGTCCAAAGAAGAGGACACCATACACTCCGGCAAGAACTTCGATGCCCACGCCAACCTCATAAATGGAAGCGGCGACGACAATCGTCCACCTGTCACAGCCGGAATAGCGTTGGCATGAGTGGGTCGATAAGCACGGCCGAGATACGAGCGAAGGCTAGCTGATCGAATCTCACTTGCGGCCGATACCCTCCTGAAAGACGCCAGCACGGGCAGAGCCGATCATGGCGCCCACAACAAAGGAGGAAACAACTACAACAATATGCGACGATCGTGCATGAGGGCCTGTGAGGGTAGCCGCTATACGATTTGGCCAGAAGAGCGCGGTGTACCGAGAGAAACACGTACGGGCCCCTTGCCAAAATGGAGAAGAGAGCACATGGCTAAAGCCTGGGTCATCTTTGATGAGCAGCTGAGCCCCTGAGATGATGCTGGCACCAAGAGAGCAGGACAGAGAAAAAACAAGAAGGTAGACAAGTCAGATGCGGTGGACCTGACGCGAGTGCGCTTGGAGTAGAGCAAGGCGTTTCTGACCTGATCTCAAAGCCGAAAAGAACACCACTCAAGATTGCCAAGAAGACCAGCAAGGAGAGCTTGACCAACTGCCAGTTGCTCGGCTACGAACAGGCGACATGCACTCGATAAGAATCCTTGATCATGGCGACGATCATGCCCGGGATAGCCCAAGGACTGAGACATCTTACACTTGGAACCGAGAGGGGAGCCACGAGCGGGACATGCTCTAAAGCAGAGACACGTGTGAGGGCTGCCTGCTGCGTGGTGTCTTCAGAGTGGCTCATCAAACATACCGAGATCGCTGTCAATACCAACGCTGCTCGGACGAACCCCATGCCGGCCCATTCTGGCACCGTCCGCCGCCAGTGATGGAGGAGATCGTCGGGATGTGTCTCGACGTCAGGCGCCGGCGGTGGCACGGAAGTCAGGTAGAAAAGAAAAAAAAAAAAGAGAGAGAGAGAGAGAGAGAGAGAGAGAGAGAGAGAGAGAGAGAGAGAGAGAGAGAGAGAGATTTATGTATGAAGGATGGCAAGATTACCACAGGTAGAGTGAGAGCGCTTGCAAGAGGCATTGCGTGAAAGAGAGAGAGAGAGAGAGAGAGAGAGGGAGGGAGGGAGAGAGGGAGAGAGAGAGAGAGAGAGAGAGAGAGAGAGGGAGAGAGAGAGAGAGAAAGAGAGAAAGAGAGAGAGAGCAGCATTTAAAGAGAGAGAGCAGAGACAGAGAGACAGAGAAAGTTTGGGAGAGAGAGTTAAAAGAGAGAGAAAAAGTTAAAGGAGAGAAGAGAGGGAGCGGAGCACACTTTGTTAACGGTCATTCCAGAGGGCCAGTGGGGGGGGGTTGATCTTCGGGGCACGTACGCTCTTGTGGTTCGATTGATTTGGGACGCTGTAAAGATGTCAGTGGTCAGGGCGTCGACGCCAACGCGTCAGCGTCGCCGCACCGGCCCGCGGACGCCACCCGGCTTTGCCACGAATGTACGAAGTGGCTGCATGCCTTGAATTTACTTGATCCGCTAAAGGAAGCCCGCCTCCCACACATCTCAACGGTGGCTGCGGTGCTCATGATGTTGCAGACCCTGTTTTCGGACGACGAAGATGCTGATCGCTCAGGTATAGAGTGACTGTCTTGAACATCTTTGTGTCTGGCGACAGGACTTTGCTGGCAACAGGCGATCGTAGGTCACGTGCGACAAATGCTTTTGGTGTTTTTGTAGTGGCCAGCGAGTATGAGAACCAGGCCGAAACTTTTGCCAGCGTACTCCACTCGCGCATCAACATTGCAACCCCTAATACCAGCAGCAGCATCAGGCATGTGCAAACCACGACCGAGCTGCGTCGTGTGGACAACGACCTGGTACGCAGCTTGTACTTGCAGCGGTCGTGACATCTACTTCCTCCGAAATTAACAGTTTCCACCTGTGTGGCCTTGTCATTGATGCTGGCACACAGGGCATTCTCAGCGAGGACGAGCTGGAGTTGGGTCCTAATGAAACTCTTCTCTACGATGATGATGGCCCCATTGTCTATGAGCGGCGGGTTCACCGGTCAGTCTGGCTGGCGCAGGAGAGAGGCCTTTCGCTCATCCCATCTTTGACTCGACTCATGCCCTCCTCTTTTTCTGATTTGCAGCGTCCTGCGCAATACCAGTGAAGACGACTCCGCCAGTGCTCAGACGGAATCCGTCGGTTCGTCAACACACACACACACACCCACACACACACCCGTGACCTCAATTTTCTTCATGGTCAAACTGCCTGATACACTTGTGTTGTACACGCCCGTGTGAATGCAGGTCGCAGCCCACATGCCTTTGCTCCCCGTATCATTGATTCGGCCCTTCTTGCAGCGCGTTACCAACAAGAGGTATGCCATCGTTCAGAACGACATAAGATCCTGTCTTCGCCCCAAGTAGTGAATCAAGGACAGCTGTCTTGTGACGTGCGTGACCAACAGTGTCTGCGTTAAACTGCCCTTGATTCCGTCCGTGTTGTGCTCCAGCAAAATAGGGGGGGTTTGGATCTGTCCGACGTTCTTTCCAGGTAGTTTCACAGCATTAATCTCTTTGTCGTACCACCTCTGGAATCACTCTCTCCTTTGCTGACGCGAACCGATTGCATTTATAGCCTGGGCAGCGCAGCAACTGGCTTGCTTCATGGAATCTTAAAGGGCTTCTTGTTGGTAGGGCAATTCTTTTTTGTTGTTGTTGTTGTTGTTGGTGTTGCTATTGTCGGCGGAGGAGGGGGCATTACTCCAGCGGTGACCATCCAGAACTCGGCCTCATGCCCTTTGTGGTTTGCGGAGTAGTTGGGAAACTGTGCCATCACCATGGTCGGAAGTACGGCGCGCTCAGCGTACCGGCACTGGCGCTGGTCACTGCTGCTGCTGTCACTGCTGTTGTTTGCATTGGCCATCCGCTTTCCAAGCTCGCGCGCTGCGGTCAACAACGCTACACGTGCTCAGGTTGAAAACATCTGGGATCAGACCACTAAAATGATGCGAGCTGCGTCTGACATGAGCCGCTGGAGCACGAGTTTTCCTACTTCCAGCTCTGCGACCGACACCTCGCGCGCAGAGTTGCTTGCACTGTCCAAGCAGCTTCAAGACCTCACTTCCACTGTGCAGCAGCTTGCTGTCTCAGTGTCCAGCAAGTGTGACAATCGTCCATTAAACGCGTTGCTGGAAGAACAGCGGACCTCGCTTGACGACGTCGACAAGGCACTGCAGGTTGGATATGATTGACCATTATGCCTTGACTCACCAAACACGAGACAAGCATGGTCATGAGTACCGCCAATTTCAGCTGCCAAAGTTGCATTGTGATCTGAAAAGACGGCTTTGTTTTTTTTTTTTTTGCCACAGTCGTTAATTCAAGCCAGAACCCAGGCGGAGGCTAGCGCCCATTCACAAACGGAGGTACGCCTGAATGTTTGCACCCTTTCTTTTGTCATTCGCATCGCGGATTGTCCTTGACCCTGTTTCTGGCCGGTGTGACAGCTGCCCGCAGAGACCCAAAGGTCACTTCACAATCTGCAAGCAAATCAAGGCATGTGTCTCTAGCAACCTCATTATGCTCCGGTCGGCCCACGAGTTGCACGATGGTTATTCTTTCGCGTCCTAACAGGGTGGTTATTGCTGCTGAAATTCCGTTGCTTGTTTGTTCTGTTAGCCCAAAGCGAAGCGCTCTTGGTAGCTCTGGGGTACGTGCGCCTTGCCAACTTGGGCAAAAAGTGCAGTGAGCCATGGTTACTAACAGGAAAGGTGATGTCTGTTGTACAGGGATAAATTGGCACGCCTGGAAGCACAGCAGACTAACTTTACCCATCAGCAACTACATGTCCGCGATGCACTCAATTCGCAAGCCCAGATTATGCGTCAGACCATGATGACCATGGCAGAAGCTCAGTTTGTCAACAAGCAAAAGGCTTCAAATGCCTCTCGCTCCGCAGCCGCTTGCCCCAAGTGCCCATCGTGTCCCACCTGCCCCACCTGCCCCACCTGCCCCAACTGCCCAACCAATGCCCCGACAAAAGCGTGCCCAGGTCTGGTTAAATGCAAGAGCCAGACATGGTCTCAAACACTCGCAGCCTTGACTGATATAAATACCCTGTTCATGGCTTTTCGGCAGAAACAGCCCCGGCCCCACCAAGCCCTTTGGTCAATCTAGCCAGCTACGCTCGCGGGGCTCGGATCATTGAGACTCATTGTGCAAGAGCACGTAGCTCGAGCTGGCGCTCTCGTTGGGAAAGGTGCGTAATATTGAGAGGCCGTGGGTTTGTCAGGCCTTGCACGGCTTTGTTCTTCCTGCGCCGGCAACCGCAAGTTTGCCCCGTGGAGTTGTGGGTGCTTGCCTGACTGTCTGGTTTAACGCTGGTAGTCTTTTCTCAATGCAGCCCGACCAATCTGCTCGGGCCATGCTGAGCGATTCTATGGAACCAAAGCAGTGTTGGGCCTTCCGCGGGGCTGCAGCCACTGCGCTCATTCAACTGGCTGCACCCACGCACGTGGAGAGCGTGGCACTTTCGCATGTGGCGCAGGCTGCACTCCCAGCATCACACAATCAGTCGAGTGCGCCGCGACGTTTCCGCGTCTGGGCTGCAGGAAATTCCGCTGCTCCAGCCATGCCTGCAGCTCACAAAATGCTGCTCGAGGTTGGCCCGTGCTTGTCCATGGTCATCTGCCACTTCCCGACTACTAGGTTGTGACTGACTTGTTCTACCGGTTCGCTCGTCCTCAGGCGGACTTTGATCCAGCGCGCTCCCCGCAAAGCTTTGCCATCCCTGCAGTGCATCAGCACGAGGCTCGCTTTATCAAACTGGAGATTCAGAGTAATCACGTGAGTACATGCCCGCGGTGTGCTTGGTTGGCCCACCCGCGTTTCTCTGCACTGTGAACATCTCACGCACCTCTTGCTCGGGTTGGATTTGGGCTGGTAGGGAAATGAATATACTTGCGTCTATTCCTTTCAGGTCAACGGCCGAGCGACGCTAGTCGCGTGAAAGATTCATGCGATCGCACGTTGGCCAGCGGTTGCAAAGTCGTCGTCGTCCTGGGTCACCTGCTGCGACCAACCTAGCTTCTCTATCAATGTAACGGCGCTCACCCCCCAGTGTGCATCATATACCCGGTGGGCATCTTTCTTCCCTGTGCTTTGCGACGCGTTTCATTCCAAACAATCAATCCAGACGCTTGCGCAGGTGTACACCCAAACTAACTTTAATTGTCGGACAGTGTCATGGTCATGCCACACAAAATACACCGACCCTGATCTGGGTCTTGTACAAGAGGTGCCAAGAGCGAGCAGTTATCTCGTGAGCATCGTGGAACCCAGGTCGATTCCTCCTCAACCATGTACATGGGATCAAGCTTTTCCTGTCGGCATCGATCACAAGCGCAGCGAAACCTATTTGGCACGGTGAGACACAAACAGAGCCAGCAAGGTCAGAAGCATGTCTCACTGATCAGACCCGTTGATCAGACAGAAGCAGATGTGCCAGACAAACCCGATTGTGTCCATGAGATATCTTTGACGACGATTCAGGGACCAGGTCAAGTTGACGTAAGAGATGGTTACCACGTCACTTGGCTTGACTGTAAGCACGCGCACAGCAAGTTTCAGCGTTGAGCCAGAACCATGAGCCAAGCCTGAACGATTAGCCAGGCCAGTACTCCGGCACCAAGAGATCGCACCGGCTACAATGGCACGCAGCACAATGACGGGTCGATGTTCGGCCCGGCTTTGTGCCAGGCTAGCCTCGTAATCCAAAGCCGCATTGGGCAAGCAACTATGGTTGATCAACTGCAATCCGTCTGTGCAGGCGCATACGGCGACCTGGTGCACAATCCAATCAGCATTCAACAGCATTGCTCCACAACCAGTTGCGGCCACACGCGATACGCACGTCGATCCATTCAGGGGCAAAGAGGCCATGGGCATTGGACGAGAGGCGTAGGTAAGCATCGAGCGTCGGTGGGCTGATGTTGCAGTCCAAGGTCTGTGGGATGCGCGCGCAATCAGAAGCATGCCTTGTGTGACAGCTAGTCGATCGTGCAGCAGGGAGTACACACCGCGAGGCGGTCCAAAGCTATTTGCAATTCCTGGATGACGTGATGATCGTCAGTGCGCGCGTTTCGACATTGCTGTTGCTGAACATGGGTCACGGCCGAGTCGTGGGCATCTGATGAGGCGTGCAAGAGGTGCTCAGACTCGAGTCGTAGTAACAGCCGGATGCCTTCAAGTTCCGCATCCTGGTCATCTTCAGATTCATCGTACAGGGCTAAGCCGGGCACCAAGGAGAGGCGAAGATGCTGAGCCATGCGGTGGTGCGCATTATGATGGGCGTGTCCAAGCATAGCTCGTAGCACGCACCCTGCAGGACCGCGCAGTGAGCAGGAAGATGCCAGTGTTGAAGGGCATCCCAGCAGCCAGGGCTGCAGCACCAGGTACGGCAGGATGTGCAGCCCAACCTTTCCATTGGGGCTACTTTGTCCAAAGGCAATTGCCCAAGACACTGTTCACACCGTTGGCCAACAGAGGCTTGAGAGAGTAACCAGATGCCGGGTCGAGTGGTTGTCAACACTTCTCCTGCTGGCGCATCGACCCGGCTTTTGATGCCTAGGCCCGTGCGCGCTCCCCGATAGACCCCGAACGTGGAACGAAAGGACGGCGCCAACGAGAGCTGATGAGCGTCTATAGTTCGTAGACAGCATTGAGGGGGCGGGCATACATGAACCAGCATCAGATCAAGCTCTACAAACAACGTCGCGACACAGGATCATGATAGTGACAGGTGGGGGACCTTGAGCATCAGCTGTCAGCAGCTCGGAGAGGTCCGTGACTGGCAGGCGATGATGCCGTTCATGGTGGTCGGTGTCACGTTGATTTTTCTGTTCTCTCTGCTTCTGCTGCCTGCGCTTGTGCGACGACGACGACGACGACTGCTGCTGTTGCTGCTGCTGCATTCGCCGCCGTCGATCGGTCCGGTCGTCCGCCATGATGGCTGAGCGTGTGTGTGTGTGTGTGTGTGTGTGTGTGTGGGCATGCCAAGTATTGTATAGCATTGCCGCAATCCTTTATCGTGCTGACATTTGCACAAGTGTGTGTGTGTTGTGTGTGTGTGTGTGTGTGTGTGTGTGTGTGTGTGTGTGTGTGTGTGTGTGTGTGTGTGTGTGTGTGTGTGTGTGTGTGTGAGCGAGCTCTGTGCGTCAAGCTCTGTGAGGGCGAGTGTCGCTTTGGTCGGTCTGTCTGTCTGTCTGTCTGTCGGTCTGTCTGTCTGTGAACACCTTGGACTTCAGGAGACAAGGCATGCGTGTTGGTGGTGACTTGGTGTGCGTGGGAGTGCACGGCGAACCGAAGGTGTGAATGGGTGTAAATTTGCCCGTTGGGCGAACAGAGATGGAACATGGGCAGAAGTATGCCAAACAGCTTAGACACAAGGCCGAGTCGCAAAGAACAACAAGGCAAGGGCGGGGCACGGCCCCAAGGAAAAAGGTTAACACAAGATGTGCGCATTCACAAACCGACGTTGGCAAGGCGCCTGTATGCCATCGTTGCTTTGCATATTTCTTCCAAAGACAAGCACCGAAAGGGGCTCACTCAAATGATAGCTGACACGCAACTCAACTCGGACGCAAACTCAACGCGAGCAAGCGCCAAGGCCATGTCAAGCAGATGCTCGCATCACCAGTCGATCAAAAAGGCCAACCAGGCAAGGCAAGACTCGGAACTCAACGAGACGAACACTCAACAACTGAGCTCAATCCGACCGAGAGCGGGAATTGCCCAGTTGCTCGGGCAAAACTAAAGGCATACCGCCCTCTGGGGGCTCCACGCGCTCAAAGGTACCAAAGCCATACTTGAGGCGACGGCCAAACGAATTTGGGGGCACGTGACCATGGCGGCGGTACGTTTCCTTGACCCAGATGATGCCCTGCGAGCGGCGAGGGCGCAGGCGGCGGACCATGGCAACGACGTCGCGTTGACCTTGGACCAGGGCACGAAGCTCGCCAATGCCGGTGGCAGGGTCCACAAGGGTGTTGGTGGCATCAAGAAAGCGGCCAACCACCTCTGCGCGCTCCAGCTCGTAGAGATCGAGAAAAGCCCGGTTGCAGTCCAGCACGACGCCACGGGTAGATACATACGCCAGGCCCAACGGGTAGGGAAGCACAAATTGGTCGAGAGGGGCCTCGCGCTGGGAGACAAACTGCAAAATCTCTCCCCGAATGGTATCTGCATCGGGCCGCTGGTATGCGGGGCCACCGTTGGCAGAAGATGCACTGCCGCTGGCGGCACCCGCTCCGATGCCCGACGCTCCAGCACCGAGGGAGGGTCGGTGACGATAGACACCGTCACCGGTGTCGCCCGGATTCAGATCCGAGAGATCGAGATCCTCGAGCAACGGAAGGGGCAAGTTGGCAAAAGGAAGGTCAAGGGTGGATTCGAGGTCGGCAAAGGAGCGCGGTGTGGTGTTGCCAGAGAAGAGGCGCGGGGAGCCATGGCTGTGGCCTTGGCTCCCGTTGTGTATTTGTTGCAGCCCATTGGGCAGCAGGTTGACGCCCTGGGATGCGGGTGCCGTGGACTGAATGGATGGCGGGAGGTGATGAAGAGCAGGACGCTCAAAGGGCTGGGCAGGGGTAGTAGGGTTGGGGTTGACGCCCTCGGAGGGTCGTGTCGAGGCCGCGCGAAGACGCTGGTTCTCTTCTTGCAGAGTGCGGATTAGCTGAACAGTACGGTTCAAGACGGTTGACTTTTCATCAGAGTGAGCCGAGTGGGTGAGTTCGCGCAGCTCATCCAAGGCCTGGTTGATGCGCTGGCGTCGGTGGGCCTCCTTGCGCCGGTGCTGAAGTCTTCGATCTGCGCTGTCTTCAGGCACAGGGCTATCCTCATCTTTGACGTTGCGAGCCTGGCTGCGCCCTTGCGACCGAGTCTGCCCCCCCGTCGTACCCTCACCGCCCCGCGCAATCACGTGCGCCCGTTTGGGGGCACGGGCGTCCATGAGCCCAGATGAATGAGTCTAGAATGGTGAAGTTCGAGAAGTTTTCACAAACGCATGCATTCATCCACACGCAGCACAAGAAGCAGGCAGGCTCCCAGAACTGAAGCAGCTCAAAGTGACAACCCCCTCAGGGCCAAGGACCAACGGACCCACGGACCAACAGGCCGATGGACCAACAGGCCAACGGCGACCAACCAGAGACCAACCGGAGACCAACGGACCAACCGGAGACGCAAGAGAGAGAGGGAGAGAGAGATAGAGAGAGAGAGAGAGAGAGAGAGAGAGAGAGAGAGAGAGAGAGAGAGAGAGAGAGAGGACAAAGAAAGTGAGAGAAAGAAAGAGTCGTTCGTTGTCAGCGAGAGAGAGCCGGAGCGTCGCTCACATGCGGTGCAACACACACACACACACAACACACACACACACACACATGGAAATGCCCAACAGTATTTATTTATAGAGAGGACCTGAATGTCAGACAAAATATGCAAAGGAAAGGAAGACACGTAGAGAGAAAGTCAAGTAGGAAGGAAGTAGGCACATGCAGGTGTCGCGAAGATCATGAAGGATCGGGGGTGGATGTCGGGGAGAAATGGTGGTTGAGAGAGTACCGGACTCTGGGTGTGCTTGGAGAGACGAACAGGTTCAGTCAGCCGAGCACACGGATCGGTAGAGTCATGGTGGCGTGGGGACACGGGGCTAGAGGGCGAAGGCAAAAACCTTCAAGTCCGCTTTGGACTGATGGGACAGATGATGGCGCACGAAAAAAGCCAAAAAAATATGATGTCAACAATAGTCGTTTCCAACAAAAGCCCCCACAAAATGTCAGAATGTCACCCAAATTTTGTTTTTTCGGAACGAAACCGAAATACACACACACACACACACACACACACACACACACACACACACTGCGCCGCCATTTTTCAAATTCGTGGCTAGGACCTGGCAACATGGCAAAGCGGCCGACGTTGAAGCGGGCTTCGCAGGTGACCTCGTCCATCGATGCCAGCACCCTTGCCACTGCTTCAGCAGGGGAGCAGGCGAGCAAGCGCCCCCATCCCACCCCACAGGATACAGAGGCTGCACCTGCACCGGACCATGGCGAGGCGCCGCGCCCCGGTCTGAAGCGCAGCGGCACACTGCGCCTGCAACGCTCTGCCACCGCGACCACGACTCCGCCCGCCGCTGTGAGTCTCGCTCTTGTTGCGAGCCATGTCTGTGATTTTTCGTGGCGCCTGCCTGCGCAGTTACTCACCAGCTCTTCCTCGTCCTCCTCGTTGCGCCTTCAAGGAGGGATCAGGCTCGGGTTGGGGCCGTCTGGTTCCGGTCAAGGGCAAGAGCGCGTCTGTTGTCGAACTCGAGACCGCCAGCATCACCCTGGGTCGTCATGCGGATCAGTGCCAAGTGACATTCCCCGACAACCCCATCATCTCGGGTGTGCACTGCGTTCTCTCACGCCAGGACGACGGACGCATTGTGATCAAAGGTTCGAACCACTAGTTTTTCTCACGCCCACGTCTCCAGGACACGCCCACTTCATCCATAATTATTTGATCGCTGGGACATGTACATATAGACTTGTCGAGCAATGGCACGCAGCTCAATGGCGAGCTGCTGGGTCGGGGGTTGACCAAGTTTGTAGCCAATGGTGATGTGTTGACGTTGGCAGATAACCCAGCCCAACCCGAGCACGACGTCTCCTTTTGCGTCGTGCTTGTGATGGCCCCAGCTACAGACGGGACCGCGGTGCCGGCCTCCGACTCCACCAATACTGAAACCGTGGTACCAGCCCAAGTTGCCGCGACATCGGCCAACGCCAAGGGGGGCGATGCCATGGCGGACCAGCTCGTCTGCTCCATCTGCCAGGACATTATGCACGACGCCATCAGCGTCATCCCCTGTCTGCACTCGTTCTGTGGCGGCTGCTTCTCTCAATGGATGGCGAGTGGTCGCGTCTGCCCCGATTGCCGCGTCCCCGTCCAGCGCGTAAGCCGGTGAGAATCGCATTTGCTGAAAAGACTCCTTTGCCTGCCTACGATATAAAATTTTCCATCCTTTATTATTCTGCTCCTCTTGACGCCTCATTTGCTCTCTTCTGACAGCCACCACCAATTGCGAGGGCTTATTGATCTATTTCTGCAAGAACACCCCGAGCGCCGTCGTGCTGCTGAGGATTTGGCTGACCTTGACAAGGCCAACAAGGTCTGTACCCGCGGTTGCTGCATTCCTTCACAGCCTTGAGTGTATCTGACTTTTGGACCAGCCGTTGATACAAATTGTGAAAACCGCACGCTCCACGCCTCTCCCGTTCGGCTAGTTTACACGTGACGATGTTGAAATGAAAAGCATCTCGCGCCGCGACAACTTTGATTATGACGACGACGACGACGACGACGAGGACCATTCCGACAACGAAAGTGGAGACGAACAGATTCAATGTAGCAACTGCCAATCCAGCACCAGTGTCTTGGGGGCGACTTGTTCATCCGAGACCTTTCACAATTATTGCCGGGTTGGTCTTGGGTCGGCCCTTGCTCTCGTTCTGCTTCACGGCGACCTGAGACGTCCCCTCACGATCGCCTCTTGCCAGTGCTGCTCAAGGCCCATGCCAAGTTCACGAGAAAGCCAATTTATGAGCCGCTGGTTTGGGCCACCCCCCGTACCTTCTCAAGCACCTGCCGTGACACCTCTTGCCGAGGATTACCGTATGTCGGCCCTTCACGGCGTCTCTGTCTTTTGTCTTTGACCACTTGTGAAACTTGTGTGTATGACAGTGCGCGCACCTGGCTCAACCCACTGGCGTTTGCTGAACGTGCTTGGTGGGGAACGACTATGATGACCATACAGTGACGGCAGCCGTGCTGCAGAATCCACATAACCCCGCATGCACAAGCCACGCAGGCTGCCATAATGTGTAAGCGCAGCTTGGCGACGATCTTTTTTTATCGGGGGGGCTGGCAAGCTCACTTGTAAATGCGGGGTTGTTGGTTTTTTTTTTTTTTTGGGGGGGGGGGGGGGGGTTTCTTGTTTGTTTTTTTGTTTGTTTGTTTTTTTGAACGCCAGGCCAATGTTGCAACAACACGTTTTGCTGTCGTGTATTTTCAGCCGGCTGCACGGGCTCGTGCACATCCACCTACGGCCCTTGTTTGGTGTGTACAGCGTGACCCCTCCCTGTTCTGGTGCAGATGGCAGTGTCCAAGCTGCGAGAGTTTCACGTGCGTTCCCCGCTTTCGCATGGTGGTTCAGTTTCAGCTGCGCGACTTGGTCCTGCGGGACTCGGATTTTTTGACCGCCGTCAACAACAACCGTTACGAGTCCAAGGTGTTGTTGGTTGGTCAAGCTCCTGTTTGCTTGCTGAGACGAGTCGTGTTTCGATCATCTCGCGCCCCGCTTCACTCGCTTCTGATATGGATCTCCCTGCCTTTGCCATCCGTCGAAAGGATTACATGGCTCAGCGACAGCTGGATCGAGCGGCATGCTGGCGCGAAATGTTGGATCAAGTGAGTTGTTTGCTGTTTGAGGCTGATGGCATTTTCTTCCCTTTCATTTAATAATATTATTCGCGCCATGTGCTGGGTTGGCGGCAACCAGCTTGATAATTGTGAGCTCTTGCCGGCATGCTGACGTTTGCTTTCTCTCACAGCTGGAAAATGGGCAGCTGGAGATTGACACCACGGGTGTCACGGGGGATCTTTGGACATGCCGGGCTTGCGCGCTCAAGGTGCGTGGCCAAAGTGATGGCTTCATTCATAGGCTCGACACCTGATCGAAACCAACATTGAATCAACATTTTTGGCGCAGATTTTTCAGCCAATGGCATATGCGTATCGCAAAGCCATTCCTGCATCAGACCTTCCCCCAAGTGCACGTCAGAAGCCCGATGGAGGCTCGCGAGCCGATTGCTGGTGAGTGAACTCGCTGTCCAAACAAACCAAAAAGCGCCGAGACCAGACTCACACCATGCTCTATTGTTGCGGCGCCATCCCTCTGTCCAGGTATGGTCATCAATGTCGCACGCAGCATAACCGACCCCACCACGCCGTCAACTTTAATCACGTTGTTGATCCTCGGCAATGAAGCGTGTAACGGGAAAGGAGGCCAACATATGGGGATACGGGGGAAACCGGGATCTGTGCAAGACTTTGCCACAACAATTCATCGCATTCAACAAGCACGAAGCTTCACCGTGCCGTCGAAAGAAAACTGGCGCAAAGCCTCACATTGACGCTGCATTCTTTCTGGTCCGGTCTTGCGACCCCGCCTGGGGTGTCGGATGCCGTATCTGCACAGGCCGACTCGCTTCCTATGGAGGCAGACACAACAGAGGCAAAATGATGACAATTGCTTGCACTTGGTAGCACACCCTTGACATTTGGTACGGCAGCTAAATCACAGTGATCCGCCCCTTTGTTTGATCACTCCTCTCTCTCTCTCAACCTCTCTCTCTCTGTCTGTCTGTCTGTCTCTCTCTCTCTCTCTCTCTGTCTCTCTCTCTGTCTCTCTCTCTCTCACTGACCAAACCAATTCATTCTCTCTATCTGTCTCTCTCTCTCTCTCTCTCTCTCTCTCTCTTATGCTCTTTATTTCTCTCTTTCTCAAACCGAGCAAACAAATTCATCTCTCTCTCTCTCTCTCTCTCTCTCTCTCTCTCTCTCTCTCTCTCTCTCTCTCTCTCTCTCTCTCTCTCTCTCTCTCTCTCTCTCTCTCTCTCTCTCTCTCTCTCTCTCTCTGTGGCTGTCGCAGTTTGTTGTCGTATCGTGTGTTGTCGCTGGTGGTGGGAGGAGGGCGTCGTTCCGGGTGCCGATCAAGACGGAGGTGCGTACGGCTCGGGGGCGGGGGAGGGCTTCCTTGATCCTTTGTGACACCCGCACTACCTCAAGACAAAAGGCACGGCAGCTTGATTGAATCAGTCCAGCGCGCACACACACACACACCCCTCAACACCCACACACACACACATCCGCCCATCCGGGTGGTAGGCATCCCGTGACAGATGTGGCCAGAGTTGGATCGCCGCGCCTAGTGCATGGTCTGAGACAGAGGTTAAAGTGTGATCGGGTCGCGCGCCTTGCAATTTGACACGACTGCAATCATCCGCACCCCACTCGCTGGCCCTGTCACCCACCGTTGTGTCTGCCCTTTGTGCTTGTCTGCCCTGTGTGCTTTTCGGCATTCTTCACCTTGTGACTTTTGCTCGCTCGAGTCCGCGCGCGGGCTGCCACCACTCATACGGCTCGGCTTGCTTGACCCGTTGACTTCCGCAGCCCCGTCCTCTGTAACGACATCATGGTGTTTGAATATGAACAAAGCTTTTTCCACGGCGCCGTGGGGCGCAGCGATGTCGAAGCCTTGCTCTACAACCAAGCCGACGGTCCGATTTTGAGACTTTTCAACGCGTGCTTGCTCATCGAGTCATCTCCGTCTCAGCGCGTTCACGGCCCCTCCGGTTGCTTAAACAACATCGCAGGCTCTTACCTGATCCGTACCAGCAGCAGTGGTGACGGCTATGCTCTTTCCATGTTCTATCGAGCCGAAGGCGTTATGCACTTTCAGCTCAAAAACCAAGGCGAGGTTGGTCTTTGACATTTACATTCACATGCCCGCAGGCGTAGAGCCTTTGTAGCCTCTTGCTTGTTCTCTGTCCAAATGCTCACTTTGAGGCTACCCTCCCTAACAGTTTTCACCATCCCTCACTTGATTTTGAACATGCTATCGCCCTGTCTAGTGTTGGTTTTGCATTGATGATGGACCCATGTATGAAGGCATCCAAGGCCTCATCAGCCACTACGCGGCCCTTTCCGATGGCCTGCCTGTTCCATTGACTAAATGTGTGGCACCACCACGCCGGTACGTGATTTGCAGACCTCCTGACCTCCCGACCCGAATCAGAGGCCAACTGACATGTTCGTCTCCTTCTCCGCGGTGTGCCGCTCAGAGGCAAGCCGGCCGACGGCAACAACAAGCTCCATGCGGCATGTGCCAAGGGCGACCGTGCTGGCTTCCTGTACGTTTGAGCTACGTGTCAACTTGCTCCTCCTCTCAGTGGCTCACGATCCTGACTCTTCACCCATGACTCACGTTCCGTCCCTTCAACCCATTCACACAAACCCCTCGCCAGTAAATACGTCTCCAAATTTGGTTATCAGTGCCGCAATGCCGCTGGCCGCACACCCCTGCACGAGGCATGCCGCAATGATCAACCTGCTATCGTGGAGGAGATTCTTGGCCGCGTGGCCTACACCGACGTGGGCCTGGAAATGGCTGACAATGATGTCTGTATTCATCACCTCTGTTTCACCATGACCTTCTGGAACTCTTGATCTCACCTGACAGCGCTCTGCATCTTACCCCATCGGTTTTTTTTTTTTTTTTGCCTCCTGAAAGGGATGGACACCTATGCATATGGCTGCGGCTGCCGGCGCGAGCAACTGCCTCAAGCTTCTCATTGTGCACAAGGGCGATTTTCGTCGCCGCAGCAATGCCAATGTTCGTGTGCCCCACCATGCCCCATCGTTCCGCTGCTACACTGACTTGCTCTGACTGGCGCCACGCTGTGCACGCGATACCCCTTGTCTGGCCCTTGCGTCCTTTTTAGGAGCTTCCTCGTATGCTGGCCGCTCGCTTTGGACACACCGAGTGCAGCAAGCTCTTGACCGACGCCGAGTCAGGCCGGACGACCTTGGACGCAATTGAGAGCATGTCCATGCCTTGGTACCACGGCCGTCTTAACCGAGCAGCCGCTGAACATGTTCTGAGCGTGCACGGCCTGAGCGATGGCCTCTTCTTGGTCCGCGACTCGAGCAGCGTTAGCGGTGACTTTGTTTTAACCATGGCCTTTGATGGTGCCGCCTTCCACTTTCAGGTCGGTGACCTGTTTCGCACACGAGGCGCTTGCTCGCCCAACCCCCTTTTGCCCTCTGCCATGTTGCTTTTGCTTTCTTCATCCGCTTGCCGCGTTCACCTCTGCTGCCTTGCGGCTCTCCTCTCCGCGCCCATTGCAGATCACCAAATTGGATGGCAACACGTTCTGCATTGACGACGGACCCGGTGTAGCTGGCCTGTCCAACATCATTGAATACTACACAACAACAGCCGATGGCCTGCCGTGTGCACTCAAGCTCTACGCCAAGCGAGCCAGCCGCACTAGCATGCCCGCACATACAAAGTCCTCCAAACCCGCTCAGGTTGAAGAGGACATCTATGAAACTGCCGTGGTTAAAAAGTCGGCCGCTGCCGTGACCCCTGTCGCACCGGCCCGCAAGCCTCCCGCAAACCCTGCGCAAGCCTCGGCCAAGTCTGACTATAACCGACTGTCCAAGTCCGATCTTCCCCCCGAACCCGTCAGCGAGCGCTCGCCGTATGTCATCCAGCAACAAGATGTTATTTTGGGGCAACAGCTCGGCGCTGGAGAGTTTGGCGCCGTGTATCGTGGACAATGGCGCAATGGTTCGCAACTCATCGAAGTCGCTGTCAAAACCATGCGCGAAGACCTCGCCGGTACTGGAGCCGACAAGGTCGGATTGAGTCCTGTGCCATGGCATACCCCGACATTCAGCTTTGACGCCCTACTGCTACCATTGTTGCTTGCCTGAACGTGTATTTGCCTGACCCCCGCTGACCACATCGGCACTGCCTTTTTTGTTTCTTCCCACAGGAATTTTTGCGTGAGGCCAACCTGATGGTCACCTTGCAACACCGCAACGTTGTCCAGCTCCTCGGCATCTCCATCATGCCGCAGCTCATGATTATTCAAGAACTCATGCCTCTTGGCGCGCTCCAAGGTACATCTGAGCGTGCTTCCCAGCCAGATGGACACGTGTGCTCTTCATCACTGCCTGTCTGTCTGGTGAGCTCAGAAAAGTCATCTCACGACTGCCACTTTACTTTCAAACCCTCTGATAGATCACTTGGAGAAACACCAGAAGAAACTTCGCGACAGTCAGCTCATCAAGTGGGCAGCAGAGGTGGCCAACGGCATGTCGTATCTCGAGAAAAAGAAGTTGGTTCCGCATGACTGCTCGTCTTTGTGCCGCGTGGATTGTTCGTTGCTTTGTTGTTCGTGTTCTACTTGTATCTCACTTGATTCTTTGATCCAGGTTTGTGCACCGTGACCTGGCCACACGCAACATTTTGCTCAACGGTCAAGCAGAGGCCAAGATTTCTGACTTTGGCCTCTCTCGGGTGTATGAGGAAACCTATTACAAGGTATGTGGACCAGGGCTCCCTCTCTCATGTTCGGTCCAGCATTGAACGGAGCGTACCCCTTTTGCGGCTCCGAACTCACACGTGGCGATAATTAGGCCTCCAAGGGTGGCAAGTGGCCCATCAAGTGGTATGCTCCCGAGAGCATCTATTACGGCAAATTCACCAGCCGTTCTGATGTCTGGTGCGACATTTGACTGCTGGCTGCAGCTATTTGCCCCGGCGTTTGACCCTTGAGCTCATTCTTGCTTGCCAACTCGCAGGTCGTTTGGTGTGACGCTGTGGGAAATTTGGTCATATGCCGATATGCCGTATGGTGACATGATGGGCTCGGAAGTATGTTGTCACCCTGCCGTTGTTGCCAGCATTTGTGCCTTCAACCTTTTGCTTCTGTGTTCTAACTCTGCACGTCCTCCTCGCCAGGTCATCTCCATGCTCGAGCGCGGAGAGCGGTTGCAGTGTCCCCGAGGCTGTCCTCAAGCCGTGTATGACCTGATGCAAAAATGTTGGGCCTTTGACGCTGACAACAGGCCTAGCTTCTTCCAACTTATGCACAAGTTGACCAACATGATGCGCCAACTTTAAGAAGCTAGCTCAGCATTCTTCGCCATGTCTCTTGTGCACGGCAACTTTGTTTTTTCGTGTTTCTCTTGACTTGCCTCTTGGCTCATTCGTGACCTTTTTTTTTTTTTGGTGTTTGAAAGTTTTGTCTTCCCCCCACCTTTTCCTTACTTGTGCGACTTTGCTCTTGCCTTATCTTGATTTTTCTGATTTCCGTCGCATCTCGAGGATGGACGGGATTTCCTGCTGTCTTCGTGTCTCTACTTCGCGCTGCCCTTGTTGTGCCCTCTACGTCTCTTCCCCTCCTTTCCTTTCCCTCTCTCTCTCTCTCTCTCTCTCTCTCTCTCTCTCTCTCTCTCTCTCTCTCTTTAAACGAATCTACTTTGGAAATCATTTTGTATTCCGACTTGTTGATTAAGAGGCCAGCAAGCCTTTATGGTCGGGCAGAGACAACAGGCCAAAGTCGGCTGCTTCGAGTCGACGACGAAAACCCTCCACCTCGAGATCAAAATCGTCATCCTCCTCATCTTCAGAGGCCCATTCCACCTGTGAGGGGTCAATGGCGGCCAATTTCTGCAGCGCTTGCTCGCGGCGCTACCGGAGTTGGGCGAGGCGAATAAGGTTCTCGCGCACCCCATGAACAGACGGAAGGAAGAACGAGCACAAGAGTTAAGCTTGGGCCGAGATGTGTACAAACCGCTTGTAAAGGTTGAGCCAGTTCCTGTGCCAGTCGCTCTGAAACCTCAGGATCTGGCATCACGCGCATTCTATGATGCACGTAGTGCAGCAAATTGAACAAGGAAATAGGGCATGGCCAAGGTCAACCGATGCATCTCTGTCGACGGGCTCGGTGCGTGGTACATCATGGTATAAACATACGGCGGCTGTTCTGGCCCCGCGTCCGTGGCAGTGGCTGGGCTAGTCTCATCTTGGGACTCGCGCATGGAAGCGACGTGGCGACCTGACAGTGTTGCCGAATCGACCACGGCAGGTCCAACACCCAAGCTCGGCGCGTCATCTGGGTCCGATGCATCCTCGGCAGGGTGGTGCAGGTTCTCTGTCGCAACGTCTGGCTCGAGATGCAGCGCTTCCGAGCCTTCCCCCTCATCTTTCTTGATGCGCTTTGTCTTTTTCTTTCCCCGGCGCTTTCTAGGAGGGGAAAAAGATAATGTGCGAATCAGTGGCATTTGAAGAGCGGCCATTCAGTTGAGCCAACGAACCACCTCCCCAATGCTCAGCAACGCACTTTTTTTTCTTGTCGTCGGATCCGTCTTCGATAAAGGACAGCAGCTCCTCAAGCGAACGCTCGTCTAGCATGAAGTTTGAGATGCAGCACCCGTGCAAGCAGCTTCAAGTCAACCAGCAACAAGACACTATAAACGCTTGTGAGGTGGTGAGTTGGGTTGAAACAATGGCAAGCGACAAACCTGAAGCATTGCGATTGGAAGCGGTACCAATCGTCGAAGTGGATGGAGCAGGGATGGAGGCAAGGGCATCGGCGGCGGGCCAAGGGGCCGCGGGTGTGGAATGTGACTGGACCGGCGAGCCAACTCCCAATTCGCGTGAGCCATCTCGGTGTTTCTGTTCAAGACGCTTATGAAGCCGCTTGACGACCGACCCTCGATCGTGACGGGGTGCCTCGGGTGCCTCGAGGGTGTCAAAGCCCAAGGCTGCACGCAGCTGCTGGGGTGATTTGCCAGAGATATGGGCGGCAATGATACGGGAAGTCAGGTTGACCAAGGGGCGAAAATCAAGGTAGTATGAGGCTGAAGCCAGCTCGCAAAGCATGGCTTGGTCTGTGTCCGGGGCCAAAAAGCGTGCTTCAAAGGCCTCGCGCTTGTTCTCATCTCGAGCATCCTCTGTGAGCGCACCAAGGACCGAATTCAGCGGCGGGAACTCTTGAGCCTGTATAGCAGCACTGAGACGCAAGGAAGCTTGACAAAAGAGACACAAACGCAAGCTTGGTAGGCAAAGTCTGGACTAACCAGAAAGCATAAAGTTGCAGTAGTCGATGAGCATGTCAAGTGTCGTGTGCGATAACTCGGGAAGTGCGACCACGATCTGGTCCTTGGACTTTTCGATAAGGGTCGCCAGGATCCGGCCCTGGCGCAGCACCATCCAACACGGGGATAATTACCCCAGGCATAAGTGAGACGGGACGAAACTGGCCTCGCCAAAGCGCATGCGGTTTCTCGTTCGAGTGCGCACCTCCTTGCGCAGAATGGCGTGCTGGCCTTCGATGCAAAAGACGGAGCCACCGAGGCTGTTCTGAAAGGAGCGCCGCTCGCCTAGGATTACATACTTGATGGTGGGACAAAGCTCTAAGGGGGGCGATCAAATCAGTTGCAACTCAGTCAGGAGAGGATTTTTGACCAAGGAGTGATGAGACGCTCCAACATGGCGGAGCGAGGCCAGCCACGAACCAACGAGCTCGGGGTCTACGCGAAAGCGATACTTGTCGCAACTCTCCAAGAAATACTTCATGCCACCGTTGAATAAAGAGGCACTGCCCCCACAAGTCGGAGACACGCCGATGCACTGCACTCTTCCCACAACACCAGCTCAAACCTTCGCACAGCAAGCAAATCAACGGCGCCCCGGCAACTCAGCACGAGGGCGCTGCCACCAGAGCAGCCACACAAACGGTCAAGCGTAGTCGAGAGAGGAAATGCACTGAAACGAATACAGTGATCATAACTCTAGTGATCCTGCTCGCGAAGGCAGTGAGTTTACCTTTTGGCCCACATGCATGACACTCTGTCTCTCTCTTTCTCTCTCTCTCCTCAAACTCTCTCAACCTGTCACAACTGTCACAAACTCTCTCAAACTCTCTCTATACCTTTATCTTTCTCAGCAATTCATCTCCTGTCTCTCTCTTTCTTTCTCTTTCTCTCTCTCTCTCTCTCTCTCTCTCTCTCTCTCTCTCTCTCTCTCTCTCTCTCTTTTTCCCTTTTGTTCTGTGACAGACACCCCCCCCACACCCATCACACCATCAACAATGGCTGCCCCTGCTGCGAAGATGGCCAAGATTGCCGGTACGTCCCCTTGGTTCTCGGGGCGAGTGCGCCAGTGGGAAATGGGGTTTGCCAGTGACCCTGGCCTTGTTGCAAGCGGTTTTCGTTGTTTTGCTTTGGGTGCAAGGCCATAATAGCCCTGTGTGCCAAGAGCCCACGACCGTTGGCGCCTGTTTCAGGGTCATTGGTTTGGCAGAGGGGTGGGGCTGGTGTCACAGTGGCCTGTCACTGGCCATTGCGGCGCGGACTTGGCGCAACTGCCCGTCTCAAGTCGACGACTCCGAGGTCATCGTCTGCATTCACAAGGCTCTCTCTCACCCCATCTGGACGCCATGCTGTCTCTTGCACGCCGCCCGCGTCGCTTGTACGACACCCAGGTTGGAGCGACGAAGATGCCAAGCGCTTCTTTGAGCATGTCGAGAACAACCAGAAGGAGTACATCCAACGCCTGGCTGAGGCCGTAGCCATCGACTCTGTCTCTGGCGACGCTGATCGCCGCGACAAGGTAACACCGTGCGCGCGCGACGACGATTGCCACTGGCTTGCAACAACTCATTGCCGCCTGCGTCCATTCCCCCTACGCATCCTCCTCCCCTCTATCCAGGTCGTGGAAATGGGCAAGTGGCTGGCACAATGGATTGAGAAGATTGGCGGCACCGTCGAGCTCAAGGACATTGGCACTCAGGTTTGTCTTTTCTCTTTTTTTTTCCTCTTTTTTTCTTTTTTTTTTCTTTTTTTTTCTTTTTTTTCTTTTTTTTTTCGGTACTCCGCCGTCTGACTGGGCTCACCTATGTCACGCACAAACATAGGAAATGTCCACGGACAGTGGATCCATCACCCTTCCTCTGCCGCCCGTCCTCTTTGGCACCTATGGCGCTGATCCCAAGAAGAAGACTCTGCTTGTTTGTACGTCCGCATGCTTCTGAAATTGCAACAATACCAGAGCTCAGCCACGCTTATGCTCCACCATCCTAGATGGTCACTACGATGTGCAGCCCGCAGCCAAGTCGGATGGCTGGGACACCGAGCCTTTTGTTCTGACGGAGAAGGAGGGCCGCCTCTATGGCCGCGGCAGCTCGGACGACAAGGGCCCTGTCCTTGGCTGGCTTTGGGTCATTGAGGTGTGCTTGCGAGTACTCACGCCCAAGGGTGGATCTTGCAAACCATGGGACACAAGCTCATTGCTCGGGTCGTCTCCTCGGGTTTTCCTGACCACTATAGGCTGCGCGTGCCCTGAACATGGAGCTTCCCGTCAACATCAAGATGGTTTTTGAGGGCATGGAGGAGAGCGGCAGCGAGGGCCTCGATGACCTGATCATGGCCGAGGCCAACGGCTTTTTGGGTGATGTCGACGTGGTCTGCATCAGTGACAACTACTGGCTGGGCACTCGCAAGCCTTGCATCACCTACGGTCTGCGCGGTATCTGCTACTTTTTTATCGAGGTGGAGGTGAGTGCTGCTGCGCTCGAACTGCCGCCGCTGCGTGTCGGCCGCTGCATTGAAGCTATGCCTCACCAACTCTGTGAATCTGCAATCATCAGGGTGCCAGCAAGGACCTTCATTCGGGTGTCTTCGGTGGTACTGTGCACGAGGCAATGACCGACGTCATCGCCCTCATGTCCAAGCTTGTGTCCCCCAAGGGAGAGATTTTGGTCCCTGGCATCAGCGACTCGGTTCAAGGCGTGACTGAGGAGGAGCTCAAGGTATATGCTTGGACGAGTTGTTCAAAACGCTTTTTTACAATAGCCGTGAGCTCACGAGCATGGCATGGTCCTGCTGCTGCCTTGTTCTCAGACCTATGATCCCATTGACTTTGATCTCGACGGCTACCGCAAGGATGCTGGCGTGGTTGGCGAGCTTCCTCATCCCAACAAGAGTGCGTCGCTTCGGATGATACTTGTGTCGGAGCTTGGGCTCTAATTGAGCTGCGCTCGTCCCCTATTCGAGCCGCGCTTGTCCAACCTCCTCACCTGATGTGATCTTGGGTCGTTAGACGACACCCTCATGCGCCGTTGGCGTTTCCCCTCGCTCTCGCTGCACGGCATCGAGGGCGCTTTTGCCGGCAAGGGCGCCAAGACTGTCATCCCACGTAAAGTCATTGGCAAATTCTCCATCCGTCTTGTGCCTGATCAAGATCCTCAAGACATCATTGCCAAGGTATGAACTTTTTTTGTTGTCTGTGCCTTTGATCCCAATAATTTGGGGAGGCCACGTCCAGCTGTTTCAGCTGGAAGAAATTGCGACATGCATTATTTTGTTCATGTTTTCCCTGGTTTGTAGGTGAACAAATACCTTGAAGCCGAGTTTGCCAAGCTCGGCAGCACCAACAAGCTGACTCTCAGCTGTGGCCATGCTGGTCGCCCCTGGGTTGCCAACTTCAACGATCCCAACTACATTGCTGGCCGTCTCGCTACCCAGCAGGTACCCCTTTGTTATCTGGCAACAATTGGCGTGTTGCTCTCATGCACATTCATCTCGCACTCACTGATCCTGACCCAATCTTTCCTACCTAGGTGTACAACGTGGAGCCTGACCTTACCCGTGAGGGTGGCAGCATCCCCGTGACTCTTACCTTCCAGGAAGCCACCAAGAAGAACGTCATGCTGTTGCCCATGGGTCGCAGTGATGATGGTGCTCACTCTCAAAACGAGAAGCTGGACATCAGGTTTGTTCAAAGCTTTCCCTTTTGCATCTTGCCCCTTGCTTGTCAATGCATCGTTCGGTTTTTCTTTCCTCACGCAGCCCTGGGGCGCGCAGCAACTACATTGGGGGCATCAAGTTGTTGGGCAGCTACATCTTCCACCTCGGGGCCCAGCTCGCATAAATCATTCGACGGGATACGCCATGTCAAAACAAATTCATCGTTTGACTTTGACCACAATCACACCACACCACACCACGCTTACCCACACGCGCTTCGTCAAAGTTTCTCCTGTCTCAGTGCTCCCTGCCCATGATACGCGCCATGGCATGACATGAGAGAACAGAACACAGAGAGAGAAGAAGCTTTGATTTCATGACAAACATGTCATGCACTTTTTTTGAATTGTCAGCATGGTCTTGCTTGGACCGGGATCGGGTCGGGGCGCGTGCGCTCTGGCCATCGGCCTCGCCTGGTGCCTTGTTGTGAGCTCGGGATGGGCACAGGCACAAACAGAGAGACCACACATTGTGGTCATTATAGGTGATGATGTGGGCTGGGCCAACACTCAGCTCAACTGTCCTCTCCAGTCCAACAACTCCAGTCAGGCTTGCAGTGACGTCAAGACCCCACATATGCTGGCGCTGCGTGAACAAGGCGTCCACCTCCTGCGCCATTACACGTATGCGACGCTCGACAGCCGCAACAAAATTGCATTCGGTCAAACAAGGCGCTGTTTTCCCTCACCTGGCCGTACCTCTCGCATTTGCCATGCCCAGTTACAAATACTGCAGGTATGCAACACGGATGGCCGCTGCTCAGCCTCCACGTCCGGCTCATCCCGTATGGCTAATTGCCATGATTTAGTCCCACTCGATCGGCCTACTTGTCGGGTCGCTTTCCAATCCATGTCAATGAGATTAATCCCGTGTACGAGCCTGGGGGTGGCGCTACCCTCAATTATACCATGCTGCCCGCCAAGCTCACCCAGCATGGCTACGTGGCACACCACGTTGGAAAATGGTAAGCCTTGCGCACATCGCGATCCACCACCAGCCAAGGCGGCGCACCTGTGTATTGAGAAATGTGTAACACGGCATGGCACTGCTCTCATTGCTGTCTGCCGCGTGGCGTTGTCTCTGCCTGTGTCGCAGGCATCTGGTGCGTCGACTCCTTTGTCTGTCACTTCCAGCTGCTGTGCATGCTTCCCTCGACCAAGACGCAACATTCATCAGTCCTCTATTGATCAACTGTGACGCACTAGGGCATGAGCTCGCATGCACGCACGCCCGTGGGACGCGGCTTCAACAGCTCGTTTGGATACCTCCTTGGTGAGACTCGAGCTGACCCCCCTGCCCTTTCTCTTGGATAGCCTGACAATTCCTGAGATGCACATTTTTATTTGATTGCTTCGACTCGTCCCAAGGAGCGGAGGATCACTACACTCATTTGGTGGCACAATCGGGCTACAATGCTGTGGACCTCTGGCAGTCGGATGCCCCGGCCACTGGCTACAACGGCACATATGGGGATCTGGCTTACCGTGCACAAGCACTGCAACTCATCGCCACCCATGATCCCAAGCAGCCCCTCTACTTGAACCTAGCCCTTCAGGTCCGGAGCTTGCAGGACTGATTTTGCTGCATTTCCTGACTTGCAACATGTCTCTTATGTCAAGCCTGACCTCACTGTGGACTGCCCAGGTCGATCACGACCCACAAGAGGTTCCCGCAGAATACCGGGAACGCTACCCCGGTATCTACCCCGCTCGTGCCATCTTTAACGGCATGAGCTCTGTCATGGACGACACCGTTGGTGCTGTCGTCCAAGCCCTGCAATCACGAGACATGTGGAACAACACGGTTCTGGTCTTCTTTTCCGATAACGGGGGCGCTACGGGCGTCAATTCCATGAATGGCAACAACTACCCACTGCGGTTTGTCGGTGCAACCTTGTGTCCCACCTTGCGAAGAATCAAAGCACAGTGATTGTACGCCGTGTTCGCCTTACTCATGACCCTCTCTGTCCGCTGGCTTTAGGGGCGGCAAAGTACGTTTGTATTGCAACGCTTGAGGGTAAAAGGCCGCGTTGCTTGAGGTGTCTACGCTGCTTTCTCCTCATGTTTTGACCCTTGGTGCATAGCATACGGACTTTGAGGGGGGTGTGCGCACAACGGCCGTGGTGAGCGGAGGCCGGATTCCCATGGCGCAGCGTAACAGTACCCGCACGCAGCTGGTGCATGCTTGTGATTGGTATGCGACCTTGGCTTTTTTGGGTGGGGCAAGCAGCGCAGACCCCGTTGCTGGTCTCCCTGACGTTGACGGTCAGAACCTCTGGCCGCTCTTGACGGGAGCCAACATCAGCCAGGTCCACGATGAGGCACGTTGTCATCGAGCGAGCGCTTTTCACTGTCATGTCTTGCTCTGACACACGCACACCCGCGCACACACACCCGCGCACACACACCCGCGACCCCTGCCCCGGTGCGCTTACCCCTGCTTTATTTCTTTGTCTCAGATTCCATTGTCGTCGGGTTTGTCTGGGGAAAACGTCGGTGATGCTGGCCTCATACTTGGTCGCTACAAGTTGGTCGTTGGCAATCAATACAAAGGTGCCGGCTTTTGGACTGGGTATGTCGTGCATCCAAGCAAAAGAAAGACTGCTGTGCCGTACGCGTGGCTTCACCATGGATCACTTGCTGTTAGGCCCTTATATCCCAATGGCACAGCCAACCAGCCAGACGTGGCTTTGGAATGTCTGAACGGTTGCTTATTTGACATTTTTAACGATCCCACAGGTGCCAGAGAAGCAAATATATGGAACAACCGGCTACACTTGCTTTGTAAAATCGTGATTGGCTTGCTCACCCCATCGTGATACACTCGCATCTTGTCTCTTTTTTTCGTAGAACATGAGGATCTCTCGGCCAAACTACCCGACGTCAAAGCAAGACTGCAATCCCGCTTGGCAGCATGGGCGGCCACAGCCTACCAGACGGGCACCGACAGTGAACACGCCTGCGAAGACCCCGTCAGTGTGGCCAGAGAGCGATATGCCGGATATTGGGGTCCCTTCTGCCAATTGGCAGCTCAAGCAAAGTCCAATTTGACCAAAGAATGGTGACCCGAATTGCCGGTCATTCCACACCCACAGAGCTTGGTCTGGCCGTGCCACACTGGAAACAAACCTCAGCCTCCTGACACCGACGACAGCTGTACAAAGGCAACAGGACGAAAAAGGGCAAAAAAGAGAAAAAAAAATCGAATTTCTTTA